GTATCAATTTATATCCCTCATTACGGAAGACACTTCCACTGTCTTACATCCACCAACTGTGCCGTTCATAACCTCTAATTCAATACTATATATACTAACAAGACTTAAATTGTCTGACATATAATGCTCTGAAAAACAGAGAAATTGTGGACTAATCTTGTCTACATTTAGGGAAACAATTATTTCATCCATTTTACTGATGAGACCTCCGATGTTTTGATGTAAGAGAATCAGAGGATTATTAAACTTAACAGACAACCCAGAAAATTGATATACTATGCCCATAAAAGAGCACCAGATCTAGTTTTGGGAGGCTTTTTAACCCTTTTCCGATCAATAGAACAGGTAATGTCCATGGATGGATGCTCTGATGCAGGCATAGTACTGTTTTCTATTCTTATTTGTTTCACCTCACTAAGTGTTTTATCCAAATCTGAAAATCTACAGTCTAAACTTTGCGCTCTTTCACTCAGAGCACTCTGGGTAATATCACTCCTTATATTTTGTAATATATCACTTTCTAAATTAGGATTTAAATTATTATGACACTTCCCTTGAGGCTTATTTGCAGTTAATTCACAGTCTCCATTAAACATCCTGCACATTGCTACCCCCATCTTGTTGGTCCTCTCCGCATTTTAATATAATAGGTGAATCACAGTGGCGATAGATAAAAATATTGCGTATTGCCGATACCAAACATCAAGCAATGACATCTTTTCCTTGTCTGTTTACGTGCGTTCCATGAGCCGTGAACTGCTTCCTTTGTAGATCAACTTTCACTACTTGAACATAGTCACAACACTCGATCAGCTTACTCATCTTCCTCTTATAATGAACAACTTCCTTACTGACACATGATATGGCTAATAGATCAAATCTTTCACGGGCATTTAAAATCAGCACATTAGTATGCGCGCACTTCTGAACAAATTTCCTAATTGATCTCAGTCCACTTGCAGTATTATCCTTGGCAATATCCATAGCACAACCATACACTATAACATCATTTTTATCAAGATTTTTTACAGCTGAAGATGCAGTTGAAGTAATGATCTTTAAGTCAGCATTAGGTTTAACATAACCTGTACATTGATATGAAGAACCCAAATGAGAAGCCAGTCTTTCTGATATGCCCCTTGCGTGACTGTCTCCTATCAGAAGAATGGTATGCTTTTTTACACCAAGAGATTTCTTTTTCCCACTTGTTATTTTTGGAGTAGGTGACATGGACTTTGGAAAATGATTCACCGGTTCTTGAAGATTATTTAACACTGCATAGCGACTTGCTGTTTGAACACAGTTGTCAGTAGTAGGTGATAAATTAACTGTCTTCTTAGTTGCCTTACTTACTCTCACTTGCCTCCAATCATCACACTCCTTATGATGGATATAGTTACCACTGGATTCTTGTTCCGATGTTGAGCTAACTTCTTTTTGTAGTAACTCTATGATAAACGAACAGTTTTAAGATCATCTTGTACTCTTTGAAGTTCACTTTTTATATTTATACAACTTAAACAAGATGTTCCACTACTATGAACTACATTATTACATAAAATGATAGAGCTCGAGCTAGACACCTCAATACCATCCACCATATTGTTACATATAATAATGTGAAGTCATGTTTTATATTCGAGACCAATGTCTGTTGCCTTCATTTGCTTAATACTCTTTTTCCTTTACCTACAGAAAGGTGCTGTGAGTTTTTGTTGGTACAGTAATAATGCATTTGTAATTTTGTAATAAAAGAGATTAGTAATTTGTGATCTTTTATGCTTATATCCATTCCTTTCTGTCCCCTCCTGTAGTCGCCCAGTGATCAGGATTGTCTGTTTCTAACAGATGCAGCTGTATAGGAGCCTGTCCTCTCATGCACCTCCACATGGAAAAAGTTTCCAGAACACTGTATCTGCTAAAACTCAGGATGACTGACATTGTCCAGATGATGTACTGTGTCAAACACTTTTGAGGTTGCATTATAATCAGATAGTAACATAATCATTACTATATCATTAGAAAGTTGTTAGATTCTATATTCAGCATGCTAGAATTCATGTTGGGCATACAGATATCCTTTGTATAATGTTGCCTACACAAGGTATGAAGTACCCTTAAAAGATTTCTTACACAAAGTATGCTATATTTATAGCAAATTCTGAATGAAGATAACCCATTGAGGTTATTGCATTGGAACTTAATGTAGAAATTCCAATGCAGTTTGTAAATTTCTCATAAGCTATCTTGGAAAACAGCTTTGTCCCTAAGATATAAGTTGTCTTTCTTTTATGCTTCTCTGATTAATTGATGCTGTACTAATATATTTTCTAAATATGCTCTCTGCAGTTTGCATACCTCATAGCCCTTGATGTTCAATTATTGCAGATTCAGATTTACTGGTGATTGTTGAAAGCAGTTTTGGAACCTGCTGCTGGCTTGCTGGGTCATTCATAGTCATTGTCATGGTTCCTGTCAGACCTCAGTTACCTGGGCCCCACTGTACGTTTGCCTTGAGAAGTCTCCTATTTCCATATGTCCCATCCCTAGCAGCCTCTGTAGTCTAGGGGTAACGTTCCACCTCGTGACTCAAGGTACGCGGGTTCAAACCCAGCGGAGGCCGTGGAATTTTTAAGGGCGGAAAAATTCAGGGAACAAGTCCTCCATGAGGGACTTTAAACCGTGGGTCCCATGTCATAGCTTTATGGCATGTAGAAGGACCTCATATCCCAAGGGG